CAAACAAATTAGAATGCTATGCCTCAGAAAGAACATACAAATGTTGCTCTAAATCTGAAATATTTGCAAACTGCAATACTACTGCTGTACCATTAGGATTGGACATTCCAAAACAATTATGTGAATCAAACAGATAGAAACACTCCATATGCTTTATCAAAGAACATATTTATATTTAACAAATGTATTTGCAATTGCTATGTGGAGTTTATAATGAGAGGGAATGCCTCATGAATGATAACAAGCCCTTGCAGTTCTTAATTGTTTGTAGTCAATTACACAAATTTCTTCCCCATCATTTGTTGTGACCATTGAGTCAGCCGCAATGGGTGGTTCACTGTCATTAACCACGATGGGCGGTTCATTTCGCTCAGATGTCGAAATAAAGCTCATTCTTAAAACATGATACACTAACAAGTTTTGGCAGGTCTTTCGCGGACAAATACACGGCACCTGGTGGCAAATTGATCAAGTGATTATCATCGCCTTTATATACCTTTTGTCGGCATTGTCGCCTTGTATTAAAAATAGGTACGCAATGCGTACATGTGGGTAGCCTGTAAAACATTATTAACTGCGATAAAGCTGCTATAGTGGCAAGTAAATATCAACTGATGCAATAAAATATTATTTTCTAGTCTTATGTTCTAATGCCATAGACAAGGGAATAAACGCCCTATAGTTAGCTGGTTGAATACAGTTATAACGAAGTCAATTTAGTACACAAGCTATATATTATTATATTTTATTGTATTAAATACATTTTAGACAGATCAAAACATATATAAGTATTTTTACAAGAGATAGGAAATGAAATTTTTGCAGAATAGGTGAAGAGAACAAAAAAGACAGTAAGGTTCCGGGATGGTGGCACACATCATCTGATAACATAAAGCTTAGTTAAGAAGGAGAAAAAGAAGGTTTCAGACTTTTTCAAATTATTTCATTTTGATGTCCTTTGATTATCAGCATTTCTTTGTTACATACAAGATTGGTTATTTTGTTGATAAATCAATGTTATAGTTATGTTAATATTCAATAAAGGTTAAACGTTATTGTTCCAGTAAGATTATACCACTTGTTTTCCAAAGTTTATTGGCAATACGTTCACCATTATAACTGAAGATGATAGTATGATTTCATTGATCCAGTAGAAAGGTACAGATGGTTTGCAATGTTGATTACAGATAACTTAACAGCATCAATTAGCTGGACGTAATAGCACCAGTTCGTAGGTCCAAATAATCTGTGTGGCTTTTTCCAAGTTTAAATTTATCAGTTGACAATATCTTATCACTGTGGTAATCAGTCCGACAATCAGTCAACATTGAATGCCATCATTCATCATTGATATAAATGTGCATAATATGTGCATTGCTCAGTAGTAGTTACTAGGAAGGTATGAGTAGCATTTACCAGTAAGGCTACCAGAAAACTTTGTTCTTGTTTATAGTCACATATATAACAAAGAGTCCAAAATTGTTTCAAACATTTCAGCATAACAATTTCAAAGGGCTCATCTATGTATCTGAACAATATTTTAAAGATTTTTGTTCAGTTGAAATGCACTTGTGTTAAAAGTTGTTTTTTAAAAAAATATGTTTTGTTAGTTATGTTCAAATAAATGCTTCTTTTCAAACTCCAAAGCATTCGGCTTAATAGCTGCATGTCCACAAGCAAGAAATTGACAAGTGAAATAGTGCGTTATAATTTATAAAACAGGGCAACTTGTTACTATCATTTGCCAAATTATAAGGTAATATACTTAGTTTAATAGCTGCATGTCCACAAGCAAGAAATTGACAGGTGAAATTAAATAGTGCATTTTAATTTATAAAACAGGGCAACTTGTTACTACCATTTGCCGAATAAGGTAATGTTTTATTTATTTTCTATTAGTGTAACTTTGTAGTTGTAGATTAAACGCTCACCGATCACCGCTTTTTCGTTTAATTAAAGTATTCGTCTTCGCTTTAGAATTTGACAAACGTATTTATTTTCCGGAAGTAGAAGAACCACCGTTCGTCATCTTTCGTATATCCGACGATTACCGAAGATGTGGCACCCACACCAGTCAATGACCCCCACACACAATTCCCACACACATAAAAATCCGGACACTTTTTCGACTACATAGTGGTAAGCCGCGCACGCGCAGGCTACCCACAAAAAAAGTATTTAATGTCGTTAGCGACCATTGCCATTGTGGGCTTTAAAAAGTCCTAATAAACTATTAAAAACATACTGTTTACCCCTAGAGGTAACATCAAACCGCAGTCATCACTATGATTAATATTTCCTCGGATAAAAATTGCCATAATTTGTCGATTGCTTCAGCGTCAAGTCTCTAGTCACCTACGAACTTACTTGTTTACTATATGAATATGGCAGCGTCAAACTCCGCCCGGCGAGCATAATTAATTTTCGTAACCCCCCTGAATTGCTGACATACAAACTGAGAAAAAGTCGAGATTCAAGACAACTAAACTCGGCGCGCAGAAAGGGCAGAACACTAGTCTTGGCAGTAATTAAAGAAATTTTATCGATTCCAGTCTGCGTTTTACTAATTTAGTCCAGTCCGCGTTTTACTAATTTAGTCCAGTCCGTGTTTTACTAATTTAGTCCAGTCCGTGTTTTACTAATTTAGTCCAGTCCGTGTTTCACTAATTTAGTCCAGTCCGTCAGTGTTTTACAAGTCCAGTCCAGTCCGCGTATTACCATATGCCTGAAAATCGTGGTTTATTCGCAATAACCCATGAAAATCGTGGTTTATTCGCAATAACCCATGAAAATTATGGATTATTCAAAACTGACAGCCTGCAGCGAAGCTTACTAGATCTTCAATGCAGCAATCAATGAACTCAGATTGTATATTAAAAGTGTTATAGGCTTTATGTTCGTGTTATGTTTACAAATAAACGCACTAGCTGACCATACAATGAACTCGAAATGTCAAAATTGCACTCGGCCTACGGCCTCGTCTATAACTGCACCACTAGCTATAGATAATTTCACTACAAATTCAAATCTTGAATTGAAGAAAGCGTTTATTGTTTAGAGATATCAATAAACAAACATGCAGTTAAGCATCTTGTCATGGAAACGATTAAACTCTCGGATAAGGATAACAAACAAGGAATTCGTAAGTATATTTCAGTGTTCCTCCTGTGGCGTAGGATAGAATATCCATATATATAGAAAGAAGTAACTGTTTTCAATTCCATTTTTAGATTTAACGGATTTCTGCGAAGAGATAAATCAGGAAAAACTCTGGAAAGACTTTAGATTCAACGATGAAACATTTTCGCTACAAAATTTACAGTTAAGGGAACCAGCTCACGTATTTCTACTCATGGTCAGTATAGATGGATCGCAAACCATAGAAATAACAGACATAGAATGCGTACTTATCATGAATACGTGTCCCACATTTTTTCATGCCGTGCCCGTTTGCGCCATTTTGAATCTCGCGAGGAGTGAGAAATCTTTCAAAAAAATTTTTAATTAAAAACTTAAATTTTGGGTGAAGGCATATTTTCCCCGAGCCGGTGCGGAGCACCGTGCGAGGGTACTAATTCCGCTCGGATATTTACACCCACGATGTGCAAAGGCGAAATCAAAGTTGTCCGCCATTATGCAATGGACCTCACGCCATGGACGGTCTTCCATAGAGATTATAAATAACACTAGAGGAGGCATTGGTATCAAAAACATCAGTCGAAAAAGGGAGCGCGATAATGGGGGGCAAATTCAAGTCCCGGATGCTAAGCCAAGCGCTGATTGGCTAGATCAATGCCTCCCTAGCAACCACGTTAGCAACAACTAAAATTTATATTAAAAAAATTATATTCGTTTTTCAGGTCGCTTTGCCGGTTTTTTAAGGAAAACAGTGCTTTTTGGAACTGGTTTTACTACCTTAGATATCCTGAGATGATATTTTAGGGAAAAAACCATTTAGAAATAAAAAAAACTCGTTAAAAACGACATATTTTGGCCTCGGACATCGTGGATGAGTGAACATCCGGGACTTGAATTTGCCCCCCATTAACGCGCTCCCCAATTTCTCCTCGATGCCCCCTCTAGTTTTATTTATAATCTCTATGCGGTCTTCTACGTTATGCGCATGCGCCAGTGTAAACTACTAAGCTCTTGATTGGTCGAAACAAATATTTGTATTTTTAAACCTGCATAACTAACTGTCATTTCGCAAAATTTTGAAGAAACTTATAAATATATTTATACTTTCATAAATATGGAATATATATATTTTTTAATTACATTAGAGGGAAACTCGAATGTTGTCAGGACTTTTTACGGTTTAACAAAAAAAACAAGACTAAATTTTCGACCGAATTCACCGTGTATAATCATAGGCAGCCCAGAAATCTGTTTATACTCAGTCTTCGACTGCATTGTTTACGCGCGCGGTCAGCTTCTCCTGCCTGTACTAATTACTGTATTATATATTAATATATAATACAGTAATTAGTACAGGCAGGAGAAGCTGACCGCGCGCGTAAACAATGCAGTCGAAGACTGAGTATAAACAGATTTCTGGGCTGCCTATGGTATAATTACGGTGGCCCAGAACGGCAACACAGATATATATATATATATATATATATAATATATATTTATATAAATATATAATATAATATTATATAATATATATATAATATATATATATATATATATATATATATACAGTAGAGAAATATATTTACAGCACAGAAATATATTTACAGTACACAAATATATTTACAGTAGAGAAATATTTTTACAGCACAGAAATATAGTTACAGTACACAAATATATTTACAGTACACAAATATATTTACAGTAGAGAAATATTTTTACAGCACAGAAATATTTTTACAGTACAGAAATATTTTTACAGTACGGAGATATTTTTTATAGTACAGAAAAATGTTTCTGGGATTGAAATTCACAAATAATTTCTGAGATGACATTTAAAATATGAATGGGGTGAATACATTTAACGTGACTCATATACGATAAAAACATGGCTGATGGGGAACTCTCCTCTGGCTCTGATGCAGATACTGAAGATGAACAAAGTTTAATAGAATATTATTTTTCAAGAGGATTCAAATACAAAAGTATAATCGATTTCTTACACAAAAGACACGGCATAGTTATTTCGGAACGAACACTAAGGAACCGATTGAGCGAATATGGTCTTCGAAGGAGATCGCCAAACTTCAATATTAACGATGTACGTAGAGTAATGAGCGATTTACTAAATGGGCCAGGTAAAATGGGAGGATACCGTTCTATGTGGCATGCCCTTCGGACACAAGGGTTACAAGTTCAGCGGCGTGTAGTTGAACATCTTATGAGGGAACTCGACCCAGAAGGTTGTCAATATAGACGCGCTAAGCGGCTACGTAGAAGAACATATCATGTCCCAGGACCAAATTATTGCTGGCATTCAGACGGGTACGACAAACTCAAGCCATATGGGTTCCCCATACATGGCTGCATTGATGGGTGGAGCAGAAAAATAATATGGCTCCATGTTGCTAGATCTAATAACAAACCCGAAATTCCTGCTTCGTTTTTTCTGAGAAGTGTACAAATATATGGTTGTCCTGTAAAGTTACGCACTGATTGTGGGACAGAAAATGGCACAATGGCAGCCATGCAATGCCATTTTCGTTCGCAAGCGGACGCTCACTTTTTTGGGACATCACCTGCAAACCAAAGGATTGAATGTTGGTGGTCTTACCTTAGAAAAAATCGCTCTACATGGTGGATCAACTATTTTAAAGATCTCTGTGAAAGAAATATCTTTAATCCGGATAATGAATTGGAAAGTGAATGTCTTTGGTTATGCTTTTCTGATGTTATCCAGAAAGATCTGGACTACGTGAAAGAGCAGTGGAATACTCATAGGATTCGAAATTCCAGACACGATACAATTGCAGGAATACCCGATGAACTGTACTATTTTCCAGAGAAGAGCGGGGGAGAAGAGAACCTAGCTATGCCTGTCGCTGATGATCATATTCGTTTCGTAGAAGAAAACCTTGTTCATTTCGATGAAGAAGAAAACATTACTAAACAGTATTTCGAGCATATATTTGAAAACAGTGGCTTGCACCAACCAACAAATTGGCAAGAGGCTGAGCAGTTATATATAACCTTAATGGCAGTTGCTAACGGTACATGAAGTACTCCATCACAAACTAAGGTATATTTCATAATCCTAAATTCTCTGATCTTTATATGTATACATTGATCCCCGAAACAAAAAATAATTTGATCACAAAAAAATAAAATGACATGATCTTTCCCTACTCCCATCTTTGTGTGGTGATTACTTTCATTTAAAAAAACCAGAGTAGCGATAATTACGATGGATTATCCATGTTGTCAACCAGCCTTAATAGTTAATACTTCAACATTTACAATGTCCACTCAGTACAGCTAAATTCAGCTGAATAATATAACGCTTCCGTATACGTAACATTGCCCTAAATTGAAGTGTGGATTCCAGTATAATTGTAATAGGAGAAAAATATATTTGCAACTGAATACGGGGAAACAAAAGTTCCAAACAAGGTTAACAAGGTACAGCATGCACTGGGCACCTGGAATCTATTCCTAAAACAACCTTAAAAATGATAAAAATCAGCATGCACATGTAATTTATCGTAATCCCTTCCTTCTTAGAACATAATTAACGTCTCTATCCATTGTACATGTTTAATATGCAGGTACCTGGCATGCATTGCAAGGATGTGACAAAATGGCAACATGCTGGAAACGAAACGCGAGAAGCTTGGTCCGTGCAAGTTTTGATATCAATTTCACGTAGACATGGTGTCAGCGCGCGAAATCTGACCGTTCGCATTCTTAACGTAACTATAATATTAATATCCCTAAGTCCGTGTAAATTTCTCGGCTTAATTTAAGGCGTAGTCTTGTTCAAACAAGTAAGATTTGAGGCGAATTGACTATTCCCGTTACCATCTTGTCGTTGAAGTCGTTGGAATCAATGTAGGTGGCTGTAGGTAACAAAATCGTTGGCCCACATGTTCTAGCTTGAGGTAACTTTGATTCGCACAAGGGATCTATTTCCTCATAAGCTGCGATAAACATCAGTGCAGGATGTTTGTCTACACCCCATCCAAGCAACGGTTCCCGTTCACAGCCACTGGCGAAACGCAAGATATCCTTCGGTTGCACAACTGAGTTCGGTTCTGTAAATATCAAAATAAACGTCTGACTGTGAGTTGCAATAATTAGATCATAATAACCTCTTTTTAAGTATAAAATATGATATAACTTATAAGTATAAATTCCTTATAGAATAATATAGTGTTTGGAAAGACATGCATTTATGTGTGTTACTGCATGCATGGCATCTTTCGATCTGCATCTCGAGCCCGGATCCTCGTTATACTAATATATATATATATAATACTAATATATATATATATATATATATATATATATATATATATATATATATATATATATATATGTATATATATATATATATATATATATATATATATATATAATACTGTATTAATGGTCATATATACTATTACTACTGATAGGTATTCGGGCTTGCAGGCCTTTCAGCGCATGGGTTTTTTACAACCAAAAATTAGATTAACGGACGCAACCTGAAGTGCTTTGGACGAATGACACCCAAAACTCGTAAATGTCTTCCTCCTTTTCCCTTCTGTTGGATCCAACATCACTGAATTGTGGTAAAAATGTATTAATGATATAGCTCGCACAGACAGGATCCGGTATCGATTCGCCATGTACAAAAATACAACTAAAAGAAAGCATATGTGCTCTGACTAGCTCCAAGATTTTGTAGTGCTGCAATCCTTGACAAAACTCTTCAAGTTCATTCCTACATCAATAGACACATGCAGTTATCGGACGAGATCGAGCAAAATATCGGCATTGGTCAATGGCCTGCAGATCAATTATTTAGAAGACAGATGTTTAAAACCAAATTAAGTTTCAAGGGAACATATTGTCATCAAAAACGAAAATACCTGCACTTTCCAATTACTAAGTACTTCACAACGCTGTCCACCACTGATTTGACTTTGTCGAATTTGAACGATAGATTTTGATAGCCCGCGTCAAGAATAAGATCAGACACGGCTTCATCTCTTAATAGTGCAGATAGCTGCTCTTGATTTTCAGTTCCCATGAGCTAGTTAAAGGCAATTGAAATACACAAATCTTGATGTCTACCAGAAAAAAGACTAAGTTGTTGTTTGAACAGTATCACTTATTATCCAACCACAGTAAGGATATTGTATCCGGCCGCAAATTTTGGGGCATGTTTTTTAAACCTTTATTCAGTACTCTCAATCTCCTTATACATACGATTGAGTTCAGCAAATCATGTTATTAGCTTTATTTCACACAATTTCACATTTAGCCAATAATATATGATAGAAATAATATGAAAAAAAAAATGATCCAGTTCTTGTGACTCCATTATAAAATCAATAAAATAGCTAGGATACGGCATTTTTTTTAAAAATCACTACCAGCACATCTCCTAGACCTTTTTTCTGGAACAACCACAAAACTGTGGGTACTAAGTTGAATAGGATTACGACTTTCTTATTCAGGCTAAAATCGTGAGAGAGATAGAGAGACAGATAGAGACAGATATAGACGATAAACCTTTTCACTCACCCTAGAAAGATTCTCTCTATCTGATGAATAAGGAATTTCGTCGATGGACGGCTGTGTATTGTCATATCCGACGGTCATATAGCCGTAAATTGATTTTGAAAGAACACATGGAGGGTCACCACCAAAAATCAACACTGTTGCAAATGCTCTTCCTGCCAAATAGTACTCGTGGCTTTGTAACTTTTGGGCGTTATGTGTCAACACATAAGCTCCGGCTTTTCCAGTTGGCTGAAAAATGCCAGAACGTTCCACAAGATCGTTTCTCAGTACTCGTAAGAACTCTCGTTTGGGCCCGTGGTCATCAACAGTTTCCATGCTGTCTGAAAACTTGACCTTAAGGAAAATGCAGAGGCAGTACATATTATTTACGAGTCAGAATCAGCATATTTTTATTAGTAATCATATTTCTTATTAGCTTTTTAAATACGTCTCAGTCATTTGCCTCACCGACCGCCATATCCTCATGCATGGACACAAGTTTATGAAATATCACGTACTAATTAAATTGGTAACAACAGTGGAACAAATTGACTAAGCAATTAAGCTAAATATAACAAGGATTGGTTATAATATTAAAAAGAAGTTAGTCCTGCATATTTCAGACCTGCTAACTTATCTTGCATAACGTCAAAATCCAGAGTGAAACTGACAACAAGACTGTTAAGTTTAGGGGGGTTAGGTTTTTTGATATAGCATCCTTTGATAGGTTTTCCCTGGATTTATACGACTGCTTTTTTAATCTGGTTGGTAACATGGCAAAAATTATTGTCAAAAACAACGACATTTTTAAATCAATCAAGAAAAATGGTACTAACAAAATCAACCAATTAGCCTTTCTCACGTTGGCGAATGAGCCGCCATTTTTATGGGGTACTTTTTTTAAATTGGGATCGCAAGACCTTGTCAGGGCGGCTGTCTTTAATTTTATGCTTAATTTATTGTTCAAATGGTCTATTGACTCTTAAAGAATGCTTCAGTGCTATTATTGTTTAAACGCATTTGAGAAAATTGAAAGTAATCCCAAAAATGACGGATATTCGTCATCGTGAGAAGGGCTAATTAACTCCTTTCACAAATGACGAACACAAATCGCTTTCTTTTCCTGTTCAACATACGCACCACGCGGTGTTACCAACTTCTTTTTTTAGCACCTCTTTCTCCATGCTCATTCGTTTCAACAACAGCAAATAGGACGACGAGTACCGCGTTGTGCGTTTGCATAGCAGGCGAGTGCGCAAACGGCCATGCAATTGGGACAACTAAAACAACCCCACTCGCGCCTTAACTCGCGCCACAACCCCATTTGCGCCTCTTAGTATGAATTGCACCTAACCTACAAATGTTTGCAGTTAGCTTTAGGTGCTTGCATATAATTCAGTCGTATTGCAGAAAATAACGAGCAATGATGTCTAGCTGATAAAAAAATATTTATATACCTCAAAATTCATAGAGTCGTCAAACTTATTATCCATGACATTCCGCATGAAGCTCTTCCAAGGTTTGGATCTCCGGATAACAAATGTGACAGTCTTGGAAAGCAGCACATTGGAAGTAAAATGACTTCTTAATAAAGCTGCCACATCTAAAACATCTTCACAGGGAGGAATTTCCTCCCTAAAACCCAAAAATATTAGGGTCAAAATGGCTTAAATTATAATTAGAACTCTGTATTACCATCTGGCAACAAAAGGAACTTACCTTTTAACAGCTTTCGAGATTGGTGTGAATAATTCTTCATCATCACTGCTGTCACTTACACTTATTATCCATGGATCACACATGTGCATGACTCCTGAAGATGTCTGTGGTATCCTTGATTAAAAAGCAAATAAATTCAGAAGAAAATGATTAACATATACCAATCATTATTATACTATCAAACAATTGACAGGATGAGAAGGACCCATTTCAATATGGAATATTTGAACATACATAGAATCTTCTTTTTCAACAATTTTTGAATTTTCAACAGTTGTCACATTGCTTGAGGTTGCTGGAAAAGCATATTAGCCACATATTAAATAAAATATGAGAAAAGCTGGGACTGCAGGGTTTAATTAGAGCTTCTGAATATGAAAGTGTACACAATGTCTGATATAGCCTTAATTAAACCAAATATGCATGAGAATAACTAAATTTTAATAATTATTAAAGGGGAAAATAAACAGCAATTAGGATTATTGCCAAGTGAAAATATAGTCAACCTTCCACCAAGACTGGTATATAGGTTTTATTTGGGTGCGCTATATCCATGATAATTAACTCAACTCATATAATATTCAGAAACATTTCAAACTGGAAAGGAAACCATGTTTTGTAAAAGTGGCAACACTCCCTATGATAATTTTAAGGGATGAACAAAATGGTATGCTTTTCCATAGAACAACCAGCCCACTCAATATTGTTGCAGCATACCATCCTACCACATGATCCTATGCATAATTATATACATTAGGCCGCCTCTTCCGCAGGCCCTTTTCACTTTTCAGGCAAATATGGCAGCCGAAATGCTCCCTAGCGCCTGCGGAGGAGGTAGGCACTGACATAAATTAGGAATAATGTCTTGCCTAACGTAATTAAATATCTTACTTTTTTCGTCCAGAAGACAATGGCTATTGGCATTGCTATTGGTTAACCAGGTAGCTGGCGGGAGATAGGTCTCTTCGTCTTCAAACATATCTAAGTCATGGTTGTCTGCCTCCCGGGAAAGATACAAAACTATACGCGAAAATCCAAATCCTGATAATTCTTTATACCGCTGCAGTGTGAATGATTCAACAGGATCGGTGCCAGGAATAGTAGTCGCATCGCCTCCATCTTTAAACACTAGCTGGTAGTTTGACTCACTGTCAAAACGCTTATTGAAATCACGATGCTTTTTTATTGCAGCTGCAAGGATCTCGTCATACATTGCCATCGAATTAACTTTTAAGGGGAGAGTTTCACCACGTTTTATTTTCAGGCAGTCATCCATAACGCCGACCTGAATACAGACTTCCTTTACCTGAACTTTTCGTTTTTTGTTTAGTCGACCACTTTTTTTGGAGAAAAAACTTTGTCGCTCTTTTTCTTTCGATGTTTTGAAAGCAGCAAAGCTTGGTAGAGCAAAACTCGGCAACGATAACTTGTTGGTGGTTTTCAAATTTTCAAGCTCCCTTTTAGCCTCGGCATCTCCATTTGCATTTGTTTTTATGTCATTACCGCATCCTGGACAAAAGTTGTAACCTTTTTCCACAGGAAACGCACAGTTTGGGCAAAAATTTGCCTTGCAATTGGATTGTTTGTTTACTCCGGACTTGTGATCCGCCATATTTAACGGACATATACAAAATTACAAGCGCCGGCACACCGCACGTGTATCGGATTTTAAATCATCCTAATACCGGAAACAAAATTACAAAACTATTTCTGTACTGTAAATTTATTTCTGTGCTATAAACTTATTTCCTGCTGTATAAATTATTCCTGCTGTTAATATATTTCTGCACAATAGTTATAGTACTGACTGCTGTTATGCTATAATATATTTCTGCACTATTAGTATATTTCTGTACTGCTGTAATATTTCTGCACTTATATATTTCTGTACTGTACTGACTGCTGTTAATATATTTCTGTACTTTTAATATATTTTTGTGTGGAACGTTATATATTTCTATCACTAATTTCAGTCTGTACTCTAAATATATTTGAGTAAATCTGGAGTATATTTGTGAGTTAGAAATATAGCTGTGTACTGGATAGATTCATGTGTGTTGCCGTTGTGGGCCACCGTATATAATGAAGTCGGAAGATTTTACACTTGAAAATAAGACCCGGCACAGGGATAAAAAGTCATTCTTTTGTGGTAAACACAACTTTAGTATTCTCAAACGTATTTCACTACAAATCTGAATGTGTTATGTGATAGACGACATTATAATTTCATTTATAAACTCAGTTTTTTCAAAATATTCGCGTGCAAAAACCAGTCGAGGCTTAAATATAAAACTTCGGAAGTCGTATGAGACGTCTGATATTAATTATATTTCATAGTAATTAATAATTAAAATAATTTACCATAACAGTGACTATATATGAGTAACTTAACTTCCAGAAAATGGCTAGAATCTTGTCGTATTTTTGCCTTTTTTTCACAAAAATATGAGGGTAAACTTTGATTCTTTGAAAATATACGGCCGTTGCGATGTTGGTTGCGAGTTGCTATGACTACAGTGCTTCCGCTTCCAGAAATATATTTCCATACTTCTCTTCTCGCATACAAACAATACCAAATACCCTCCACACAAAATTTTCCAACTATCATGTCACCATCTTTATGCTTAATTAATTTCGCTTAACCGAGGCGAGGGGTTGCTGCATGCATGTATTTCTAGTACAATCAATTATTAGCACACAGAGGCAAAAAATGCCAAAACCCAGTTCGGCATCAAGTTGCAGAACAGAAAAAAAAAACAGAAAAAGCGACAAGCGATAATCGAGAAAGAGTCTATTTTCACCGTTGATCACATAAAAACAAACCACCGGCCTATCGCCTTATATATTCATTGTTATGTAGGAAATATAGTTAGTAGAGAAAAATGTTTATTGTAATAGGTGGTCAATTAATATTGTCTAGCGAATTTTTCAACTGTGCTTTGCTTTTTAAGGATTTTCACGTTTTTTACAACCGTTTGTTTACATAAATAGTTTGGCTTGAACTTGATTATTTGTCCCATTGAAGTAAATTACGTAATACCGGGGAAAACACTCCCCGAGCGGGAAATGAGACGGGGGAAAAGTTCGAGCAAAAGCTAAGCTAGAACAAAGAATAAAGTATGAAAAAAAGCTAGGAGAGAATCGAAGTGCATCAAACCCAGACGGAACAAAGACAACCAAACTACCAAAGCTGGTAATATCTAAATTCAATGGTAACCACACAGATTGGACGAGATTTTGGGAACAATACGAATCAAGTATTGGTGGCACCGACATTTCGAGTGTGCGGTACGATCATCTAAACGGGGTGAACATGAACGATACAGATACCAAAAGGAAACTACCCGTGCACTTGATCTTAGGAATTACTGAGTACACCAAGATTAAAACGAAGACAACACCTAAAATTGGAGAACCCGGAGAACCCATTGCAGAGCTAACACAGCTAGGGTGGACTATCATGTCACCGAGCAAGAAAGCTGACCTGACCAAGATGCTCTTAACCCAAACAACGTCCTTAGACTACGAGAATTTGTGCCGACTCGACGTGCTTGGCCTGGAGGACCACCCAACTGGTGATCAAACCAGTGTCTACCAGGAATTTGAAAAGCAATTAGTGAGAAGTCCAATTGGATGGTATGAAACAGGGCTCCTCTGGAAGGGAACCGTCCACCACTCGCCAACAACAAGGACGGTAGCATTAAGCGACTAAAATCTCTCGTGAAGAAACTGGATAAGGAACCCGGTTTGCTGTCCAAATACGATGCAATAATAAAAGATCAATTATCGGAAGGAATTGTTGAACATGCGGAAAAAGAGCCAAAGGGGAAGGAATATTATATCCCTCACAAACCGGTCGTACGTGAGTCAGCAGAAAGTACCAAAACCCGAATTGTGTATGATGCTTCGGCGCGTCCAAATGAGAGCTTAAAGCCAGGCCCAGTACTGCAAAACCAATTATGGAGTATTTTCCTGAGGAATCGATTCCACCCGGTAGCTCTATCCGGCGACATAAAGCAAGTCTTTTTGCAAGTCCGAATAAGGAAAGATGATCGCGATGCGTTACGCTTTCATTGGCTGAAGGACTTGACAACAAGAGAAGTGCAAACATTGAGATTCACAAGAGCGTTATTCGGCCTTTCCACGTCTCCATTCTTATTGGGGGGAGTCATCGAGCAGCACCTCCAGAACATGCAATCAGTCTTTCCGAATGAGGTCGAGGAAATACGACGCAGCCTTTATGTGGACGACCTCATATCGGGAGGGAACACGCTTGAGGAGACCGAGAATCTGAAAAAATCGTGTGTGACCATCTTCAGTGAAGGGAAATTTTAATTACACAAGTGGCATTCAAATCATCCGAAGCTTGAATTGGAACCAGAGCCCTTTGAAGAAGCTGAAACGAGCTAAACGAAAGAGTAATTTGGCGTAAAAGCTGGAGAAACAAAGTTGCTTGGCGTGCCTTGGGATAAGAAGACGGACAGTATCAAGGTGAACTTTCCAGAGCCGTTGAAGGAAATCACGAAACGAAATGTCCTCGGTAACATCGCCAAGATATATGACCCCTTGGGAATTGTATCACGCACAACATTACAGGGGAAATTGATCTATAGAGAAATCTGTGACGAACGGATGTCTTGGGACAAATAATTAAACCCGGAATTGCTCGCCAAATGGATTTCATGGGAAGTAAACCGACCGAAGGAAGTTGAAATACCGAGGAGTCTTGTTAGATATCAGGAGGAAATCGATGCAATTGATCTACATGCCTTCGGCGATGCTAGTGGTAAAGGAGTGTCATCAGTCGTCTATGCCGTCACAAGGCAGCCGTCAGGTGTAAGCCAAGGTATCGTGGCGTCGAAGTCAAAACTCGCAAAAAAGGGTTTAACCATCCCAAGACTCGAACTCATCGCGGGACATATGTCAGCAAACTTGCTCCACAACGCAAGGGAAGCATTGATAGGTTTTCCAGTCCGAAATACATTCAGTTGGCTAGATAGCACAGTGGCCCTCCACTGGATTCGGGGAAACGGCGAGTACAAACAATTTGTCAGTCATCGCGTTCATAAGATCCAGGAAAAGGACTATTATATACAGTGGAGGTATGTCAGTTCAAATGAAAATCCAGCGGACCTCGGAAGCCGGGGAGGCGAGGTTGACGAGTTATCTGAGACGCGGCTCAAGGGACCATCGTGGTTAATAGACGAAAACGAGTGGCCTCAAGACATAATAACCAGCCCAAGTAAAGAATCGCTAGCCGAAGCTAAAGTTATCAAGGAAGTCCTAGCTGTAGCAGTGGAATTGGAGCAAGATGATCTGGTTAAACTTATAGAGAAATGGGATCTTTGGAAGACCGTTCGAATCACAGCGTGGATTACGAGATTCACCAGAAATTGTCGGATGAAACAAAAGGTAACTGGCCCCCTGACTACAGAAGACATGAACGAACAGCTCGAGTTCTGGATTAGAAGAGCACAATCGCGACATGAAGGAAAGGAAAAATTCGAAGAGGACAAGCTTCAACTAAATCTTCAATTAAACGAACGAGATATCTATGAATGCAGAGGAAGAGTGCAAGGAGGCTATCCTATTTATGTTCCTGAAGAAGACGCAGTTGCCGAGAAATTAGTTCTGCATGCACACTTGCAGACCCTAAATGGGGGAGCCTTACTGACAATGACTAAAATCAGGGAAAAGTATTGGATAATAATAATCTTTATTGATCCATCTTAAATGTAAAAGTGCAATGGATGTACAATTTAATTGAAAATACATTAGGAATGTATTAAGAACATTATGAACAGATAAAAATCTTATGTATATATATACACTAATACTACTACAAAGCTATATGAGTGCACTTGCACGAGCTAAGAAGGAACGCTTGTGTCTTTCGGTTCACGATAATATGTTTTTGCAACTAATTGTCCGTAGGTTATAAGGATTACTTGATTTAGAGAGTCTTATATGAAAAGGATGGGAGGGGTCATTCATAATCCTCCGCGCTTCACGCTTCAGAAGTTCTTCTCTTCGATCTGAGAGACTTTGTAGATAGTCACTGTTACAACCAAGAATTCGGAGGCAGCGGGTCTCGGTTCTTTCAATTTCATTTACCAAATAGGTTGGAAGGCCACCCCAAACAGGTGAGGCATACTCAAGAATAGATCTAATATTGGATTTATAAAGGGTAATACCTACTTCCATGGGTAGGTTGGCTTTCCTGCATTCTCTTAAGGTATATACTCGACGGTTAGCTTTCTGAATAACAGTTTCAACATGATTATTCCATATAAGATTGTTTTGAAGCCCCATTCCAAGTAGTTTGAATTTGTTCACTCTCTCAACAAGTTCATCACCAATGTAAACAGGAGGAGGTTCCGATACTGATTCCGTGAAGCATATACCGCGATTGAGGCGACTGACGAAACGGCTGATACGCAAGTGCCACGGGTGTAAAAGATTCCAGGTTAAGGCGTACGCAAATCCTCCGACAGCTAACTTGCCTTTCCAAAGAACCACCGGTTGGGGGTTGCCTTTCCAAAGAACCACCCCTTGGTGGGGCGGACAATTCGAACGATTAGTCGGCGTAATGAAACAAGCACTCTACAAATCAATTGGACATTGAAACCTACGCTAGG